GATGTATTGCTTCGCACGCTTCGCTTCGTGATGCGCTTCCTACTCGATTCGAGGCTGCCGTCATTACCGTCCGCTCCCTCCCTTCTGATAAGGGCACCCTGAGGACTGCTGGGCGTCGTCGCACCACCACTAAGGTCAAGGCGCGTAGGAAGGCGGTTCGTAAGAAGGCCAGGAAGGTCCAGTACCTTTGTAAGCTAGATGGCAGAGCCTCCAAGCGATACAAACCTGGAGTCCTGGCTGTCGGACCGTGGGGGCACCACGCCCTCGGCCTCTCCCCCGCTCACGTGCAACCTGTGCGCCCCCAGGCTGGCCGGTGCTCGGGGCGGTCGGCTGGAGGGTCCTTTCTCCTGCTTCTGCGCCGAAGGATGACCCCGAGCTCTGGCCTAGTCGTGAACACTCGACCTATCTCTCTCTCTCTCTCTCCCTCTCTCTCTCTCTTTCTCTGTCTCTCTCTTAAGCTGGTTCACGCTTTCACTTCTCCTCCACCGTGCTTCGTATCACTGATCATGTTTTCCCCCATGCCTGTTTGACTGCTCTTTTGCGTCGTTGCCAAAACCCCCTGGGAACGCACCTCTGACTAGTACCTGGGTGAAGGCTCTCAGGAGGCCATTGATTTTTCTAGGGTCCAGGGTGTCCTCGCCAACATGTCCCATAATGGCGGGGCAGAGTCTGCAAGCGTGACTCGCAACATCGCCTCAGGTGCATATTGGACTGAAGCTCATCCCTTTGATTCAGGATGCTGTTCGGCTCAAGGAAGCCTGTGCCAGAGGTGCGGAGTAACTATGGAGACCCCACTCCACAGGTTCTGGCAGTGCCAGTGCAGTGCTGATGTGCCCGATCAGGAAGTTACACAAACTGAACGGGTTCGTGAGAGTGCAGTTTCTAAGCAGCACCTGTCTCGTCACTGGCTCAGGGGCTTGATGCCCCTCCCCATTTCCTCATCTCACGTCCCCCCTCCTGGAGACCTTGCTTGGACCTGGGGCCTGTGCAGGACCGAAGTTACGGTCTGTGCGGGGAGCTGGGGGATCGATGGATCTGGGGGTGAGCATGCTGAGGATTGGAAGCGAAGGAGGTGTGGGTGGTCTATATGCCCTCGTGAGCCTGATGGTGGTCTTGAAACTCTCGCCTTCGGCGCCCTACCCGCAATCAAGCAGATTTCACCCCGTGGTGAAGTAGATGAGTTCGTACAGTTACTGGAACGGTCTGAAGGTGAGATTGCTGTGTATTCGGATTGTTCGATGGTGGTCGAAAACGTTCGCCGACCCGTGTGCGCGCTGAAAAATCATCGATACTCGACTTGTAGGCCCGTGCGCATGATGCTCTCTCCCAGAAGCCAGGCACGGCTAAGTTGTTGTGGGCCAAGGCTCACCCCACCCAAGCTCAGATCCAAGATCTAAGTTTGAGACCTGGAGACCTGTACCTCAACCGTGTTGATTGTGTTTGCTTCCAATGGCGCTGTAGCCCACGCTGTTCCTGCTAGTATTGCTAAGCTTACTCATGATGCGGATGTTCTAGCACCCCAAGTTATCCGACGGTTGCATGCCATTCAGAGGGAAGACTTGCTTTCCTATCCGCCCAAGATCACCCCGAGTTGACCTGTCTGTGCGGCGGAAGCGTGGTGGTGGTCGATGGGTGGACGTTCTTTACAATCGTCTCACGGCCAATGGGCATGCGCCTCTGGTGAAATCCACTGCTTTGTGGTGCTCTCGCTGCATCCGTTCGTTTTCCTGGCCCTGTGTTTGCCATCCTACGGGTGATTCTGGACCGTTCACTCGCCTCCGTGAGGACGACCTCCACCTTGGTCGCGTGGACCCGCGCCTTGCTGTCGGGGGCGTTTGTGGGCATCCTCGAGTTGCTGACTGCCACCCCTCCCACACCCTGGAGGTCATCAGAGGCGTTCTGTCTTGTACTGCGCGCAGATCTATCTGTTTGTGCTGAACCAGGAAGTTTGTGCTGAACCAGGAAGTCTGTCTGTTTGTGCTGATTGTCTGTGCCCGCAAGTTCCTGGTGCAGCTTAAGCCCCCGACCAGGGCGGGCAAAGACGTCCTATCCCGTATGCGACGTGGCCTACTTCCCGGGTCGGGAGCAAAGCTCTATGAGCTCTGGCTTGTTGCCAGTGCTGCCTGACCTGAACCTGCGTGGCGCAATGTTTACCATAACACAAAAACAACAACACTCCTCCTCCTCCTCCTCCTCCTCCTCTTCCTCCTCCTCCTCCTCCTTCTTCTTCTTCTTCTTCTTATTATTCTTCTTCTTCGTCTTCTTATTCGTCTTCTTCTTCTTATTCTTCTTATTCTCCTCCTCCTCCTCCTCCTCCTCCTCCTCCTCCTCCTCCTCCTCCTCCTCCTCCTCCCTCCCTCCTCCTCCTCCTCCTCCTCCTCCCTCCTGCACCTCCTCCTCCTCCTCCTCCTCCTCCTCCTCCTCCTCCTCCGCCTCCTCCTCCCCCTCCTCCTCATCCTCTTCAACACGAGCATACATCATCATCATCCCCCTCCTTCTCCTCCTCCTCCTCCAACTCCTCCTCCTCCCCCTCTTCCTCTTCCTCCTCCTCCTCCTCATCCTCCTCCTCCTCCTCCTGCTCTTGCTCCTCATCCTCATTATCTTCCTCGTCCTCCTCCTCCTCCTAATCATCTTCTTTGTGTTCGTATTATTATTGTTATTGTGATTAGTCGGATTACCTATATTATTTTGCGTGGTAATATGTTACTATTATATTATTCTTACTAGTATCAGTAATAGTATTGTCAGTATGATCCGTAGTCTAAATATTATTGGTATCATTATTAAAACCCTCTCGTCAAAATCTCGTCCGCCGTGCTCTCCTCCAAAATTCCCTCCTCATCTCTCCCATACCCCCCCCTTCCAGTAGGGGGGAGAGGAGAGGTGCTAATGGCGTCTCTTTTTCCGGAGATCCGACGTCGTCAACAACAACCCACGATACAACGTGGACGGAAGTCACCAGCCAACTCCTCCCGAGGCACTCTTCTCTGAAGCCGAGCCGATCCGTCGGGACCCCGGGGGCCGGGAACGAAGAGAGACACGCCCGCCGTGTTTTCTGCTGCGCGACGCTCAGATCCGAGGCTTTGGGGCCCTGCACGTCCCGAACCAGAATGGGCTGCCTCTCGTCTGCACTCCTGGGTGACAGCACCTCTCGCTGCCCGCACGGCATCGCGGCCGCCGCCTGTGCCGCGAGGCGCATGCGGGCACGCCTTCGGAGGGTGCCGCGCCAGATCTGGCCTGAGGGCCAGAATCCCTGCGGTCTGGCGGGGAGGAGGAGGACAACGACGAGGGGGAGAATCGGACGAGGAGGAGGAACAAGAGAAGAGGAAGAGGCGGGGGAGGAGGCATGACGAGGAGGAGGAGCGAGACGAGGAAGAGGAGGAGGAGGAGGAGGAGGAGGAGGAGGAGGAGGAGGGGGAGGATCGGACAAGGAGGAGGAAGAGGACGAGGACGACGACGAGGGGGAGGATCGGACGGGGAGGTCGGTGCCCAGCTGCCCCCGACCGAGCCCATAACGGCACCAGGGCAGGCCAGAGAGGCCACAGGAAAACAGACCATCAGAAAGCCATGCCGAGGCGCCCGGGGCCCGCGCCTTGCAACAGTGGCGGCGAGCTCTCGGCCGCCGGCGGGCAGCATCTCCCCGCCGGGGAATCGCCACCATCAGGCACCGGCTACACTGAAGGGGCCCTGGGACACACAAATAGATACGCACAAATAAAAAGATTCCCCATATTTTCCTATATTTTCTGGGTTTCTGTCTTCCCCCCAGTTCCCATATTTTCCCATATTTTCCTGGGAGTCGACGATTAATTGTGTCTGTGTTTTTTTCCCCTGCTGAAAATCGCCACCATCAAGCACCGGCGACACGCAAGAGCGGCCCTGCGCAAGAGTGGCCCTGCGATGATGCGCGGTGTTCCGGGGTCGCGGGCAGGGGTCGGGTGTTGACAGAAGCGCCCCTGGCCCAAGGTGCCCCCAGGCGTGTCGAGGAGGCCCCCACGGCCTCCAGAGCACCCCTCACGAGGCCCAGAGGGCCCGGGGGCTCCAGAATGGAGCGCAAAGCTGGGGGCACCTTGGGCCAGGGGCACCTCTAGCAGCACCCGAAAGGCAGGAGAGCCCAGAATCGAATCGATAAGTCGGATCGGCGATCGACATGAATCGGATCGGCGGAAATCGGCAGCCGAGTCGGGGAAAGTCGAATCGGCGGAAATCGGCAGGCTAGTATTGCGTCCAGTGATAAATCGGAACCCAAATCGGGATCCCAAGTCGAATCGAATCGAACTGGAATCGGAAGCCATCGAAATCGAAACGAATCGAATCGTCGAATCGGAGGAATCGAAGCAAGCCCTGGAAAGGGGGGGGCCAAGCCCGAGCGCGCGAGCCGCTGCTCGCGCACCGCCCTCTGTGGGGCCCCAGCGGGCCTGCACCAGGGGCCACTCCGGCGAAGGGTCCCTCGCAGGTGTAGCCGAAGCTGGCGTGATCCTGGGGCAGCTGCGGCAGCGGTGGCTGGAGCGGCTGGCGCGCGAGCGGGAGGGGGAGCCCCATTGGTGAACGTTGTCTTGTTCGGCGTTTCGGCATTGGGCGGGGGGGGGAGGGGGGGGGTCTGGCTCCGAACCGGTGCCGACGTGATGCGACTGTTTGCAAGAGTGCGTCCTATGGGGGAGACTCCCCCTGCTCGAAACGGGGGCCGAAAACAGCCAAGATCTACTCCGTGGGGGGAGAGAGCCCGCGCCGATCAGCAAAACAATGATGAGTAAAGAAACGATCACGTGCCCGACGCCACGTTTGTCTTACAGCGTCGACCCCAAAGGGTCTCGACTCAGTTCCCGGGCCGGCTCTTCATCCTGAGTCGTTTCTTACGGTCCTGGGGGCCGGCGAGGGCGCACCGAGGCCAAACTTGCAATAAAAGAAACAACTAAAAAAACTCCGTCGTGCCTCTGTTCACGACGCGAGGGGGGGTCTGGGCTTCCTCCTCTGCGCCGGAGGCAGGAGGGCACCGGGCGGTCTTTTGCTGGGCTCCAGGCGCGCGCGCGCCCAGAGCCGCCCCGCAGCACCGCGGGCGCACTCAGCCACCGGCGGGCCGCCTCGCCGCCTTGGTCGCCACCATCAGGTAGCTGGTGTGAGAGCGCATTGGCATCTGATCCGCCCCCGCTGCGCCGGCCGAGAGCCCGTGCGCCTGCGAGCGAGGCCATGCCCCGGGCCCTTGGGCAGACGGGGGTGCGCCCGGGACTCCCGGGAAGGCCCGGCGTAAGTGAAGGGGCCCTGGGACACACAAATCAATACACACAATTAAAAAGGTTCCCCATATTTCCCAGATTTTCTGGATTTTTTGTCTTCCCCCCACTTCCCATATTTTCCCATATTTTCTGGGGAATCGACGATGAATTGTGTCTGTGTGTTTTTTCTCTCCTGAGTAAGCCTGCGGTGCGCCCTCGGGTGGGCCCGCGCTGGCTGCAGGCGAGAGAGGGGCCCCAGGCAGAGGGGGGGGCCCTGCTGCGCAGCTTTTGGGGGGGGGCGGGGGCGGAGGAGGAGGAGGAGGAGCAGGAGGAGGAGGAGGAGGAGGAGGAGGAGGCGAGCAGCCAGCAGGAGTTCTCCGAGAAACCGAAAAACCCTGGAAACATGGAACCCCTAGCCACTTAAGGCGGGAGGGGGAGGCGATGCCTCAAGGTGAACGAGTTCAGGCCAGTGGGGGCCACGGGTGTGAAGAGTGCAGCCTCTCTGCCCCTCAGCCGCCCTGTAGCGTCGTTACAGCCAGAATGCACGGATGGACCGGTACACCGAAATCTGCACGGATGGACCGGCACACCGAAATCTTAAAGATTTGCATTCACAACGGGGCCCCTGTCTTGGGGTGGCGGCCACGCTGCACCATGTCGGCCTTCCGCTTTTAGTTGGCCCTGGTGGCAGGATTGGAAGACGGCCCCGCACACTTCGAATTCAGATTCGAACGACCGCTCCACCCCTCCTCCCCCGACGCCGAGGCCCCACACTGGGTGCAGCAGACCATGGCACCGTGGGTGACTAAAATGTGATTTAGCTCCCTGAAGGCCTCGAGCCCATCTGGTGGCTCCCCGAGGAGGAGGAGGAGGAGGAGGAGGAGGAGGAGGAGGAGGAGGAGGAGGAGCGAGGTGCCCGAAGCCAAGCGCGGAGGCCGCGCGGCCATCGCATCGTATTATTCAGCGGGGGGCCCCAGTGGGCCCGCACTGGGCCCGCACCAGAGGTCACTCTCCGGCGAAGGGTCGCTCGTGCGTGCAGTCCACCATGGAGGGCCTGGGAGGGCCCAGGCAGGCCCGCGGAGGGCCTGCGAGAGCTCAGGTGGGCCGAGAGGAGGTCGTCCGCCCACGCTGCTTCTGCGGAGCATCACGCTGCACCTGAGAACGCCGAGCGACGCTGCGGGGGGGGACGGGAGAGTCGGTGTACACACCACTGGAGCCGCAGATGGACCTCCCTATGGGGCCACGAAACGCTGTGCTGGGTGGGGGAGACGCATGTGGTGCACACTGCTGGGGCCTTAGGTGGACCTCCCTATGGGGCCACGAAACGCTGTGCTGGGTGGGAGACGCATGTGGTGCACACCACTGGGGCCTTAGCTGGGCCTCCCGATGGGGCCGCGAAACGCTGTGCTGGGTGGGGGAGACGCATGTGGTACTGAGCGGCCGGCCCCCCCAGGTCGCCGAGGATGTCCTCTTGCACAGCTGTGCTCTAGGAGCTCGGAGCCCTTTCTGTTCGCAGCCGCTCGTTCGCTCGCTCGTCGCCCCTTGGGGCCCCCCTGACACCCTGCCTCCTCGTGCTGGTCATGTTGGCCCCTGGAGAACACCAGGATGGCCCCGAGAAGCCCCCTCCCTCCTCGGCCGGCCTCGCATGGCCCTCGACCTCCCTCGTGCAATAACCAGGGCATGCGTGCCACTTCTTCTGCTTGTCAATCCCGGCGTCTTTCTTTGGTTTCGGCCTCTGGGACCCGTTACTGGGGCCCAGGGCCATCCAAAATAAACATGGGGCGGAAAAAACGAGCCCACAAGGAAACGGTCGGGACCTCGGGAGCCGCGGATTGAAAAATCAGATCGGCGGATGTTAGGGGCTCCCCCCATGGGATCGATCCCCCCCAGGGGGTGGGACGACGACGACGACGACGACGACGACGACGACGACGACGACGACACCGTCCGCGCCGGCTGCCTGAAGCACCGCAGCACCACGCCACACCAAAAGAGGGAGGCGACGACGGGGAAAACACCGTCGACGACGATATTGCTTCCCAGACATCCGGCTACTCCAACTTGTTCGATGCGTGGGCCCTTGGAGGTCCGGACCACTTCCCCGGGGCCGTTTCTTCGTTCTGAATCGTTTCTGGACGCTCCCGAGGCCTGACGAGGGCCCCCGGCGACCCAAACTGCAAAAATCTCGCCGCCCCAGAGGAGGGGGGGGCGCGCCCACCCCCGAGCAAGGCGTGGGGGGCGCGGAGCTTCGAGGGGGGCGAACCCTTCCACGAGGCCCCCGCCCCTC